ACCAATAAGCCAGATGGGTTTCAGCCTTATTTCTTTAGTGGTCAAAACAGTGTAGCGCGCACATAAAGAGCAAAGTACCTTTTCTTTTTGGGGGCCAGGCAGGTTTTAAATAATTCACTACATGCTGAGGCTCCAAATAGACAGGCCTATATATCATAAGGAGCAAGCACTCTCTCTGAACCAATACTGACCTTGGCCATAACATATCCTGTGTGCAAACATGAATCAGAATTAAAACTGACATGTCTTTCATTCTGTTATCACTGTACATGCAACTCCCAATTGGTTGCGCTATATATATAATGTTTTTATTTTCTAGGTTGTTTTTAATTTTGACCTAGTGTGCTGGGCAATAAATTTTTTAATGTTCTTGCTACTCAACATCTTAAGTATCTACTACAGTAAATGCTGTCATATGGACTATCAAAATAACTATGGCCATTGTGCAGAATGTCTTGTAGGTGTGTTTCACAACCATACTTATAGTAAGGCCACACAAACCGTCACATCAATTGTTATCTCCATTGCAGCAGTATCCCATGGCCAGAGGAATCCAATGAACTGGAATTAGAAGCAGAGAAACCAAGCCTTTGATGAATACTGTGTAAAAGCCCTGAGAATTCCTTTCGCTGATGAGTCACCTTGCCTATTGATTTAACAATGTTACCAAAATAATACCTGACAGATAATCAACTATCACTTATTTGTGACGTAGGACAGAGAGGGAAGTGTTGTCAAACTAAATGCAATTATAACCCTGGAAGATGATGTGCATCATCTTCAGGTCCAAAAAGAAAGTCTAAAAAAGGCAATATATCAATTAGCCTTATAAAAAGAAAATTGAATAGTATTTACTAGAATATTTTCAGACAGTTAAGAGATGATGGGGGAAGACCTGTTAACTCAAGCCAGTATGCTATTCACACTGCTATAGCACTGGCAGCATTCTGGTTGTACCTGGAAAAATAACCCAATTTGAGCAACAACAAAAATAGCCTAAAAACTGTGAAATTTAAATACCATTATCCAGAAGTGTATAATAGATGAGTAAATAATGTGGCAAGCGAAATCATACACCTTGAAAGAAAAGCCAATAGTAAAACTCTACCTTGCTTACATTTATGTATATAGTGCCATTTTCAAACTAAATGATATACAATTTGGTTTTTCAAACATTACATCCAAATGCACTGAAATGCAAGTAACCTTGCACTAATGGCCTTTTGAACTGATTGTATATCAGCACTGTATTATAGAAATAGCAACCCATAGAACCTATGCCGAATTTTTAATTTATATATGCCTTTCGGTGATAGTAAAACATGTTGCCTGTTTAACTGTCCTTTGTGTTCACAACTCCCATAAGTAAACCATTATATAATTAGCCATTCAAGGAGGTAATCTTAAGTGTACTTGCAGTACAATCCACAACCCAGTGACTTCAATGGATTTAGAAGGGTATAACTTGTTAGGATTGTACTGTTGAAATCTGTAACATAGAGGTAGTTAAAAAGAACTGCAGGTTTGGCATTGTTAGAGCTTATAATTACATATGCACTTGAAGAACTTCTGCATTTTCATGACATTTAAACCCCCAATCATATGAACAGAAAGAGATTCAATATGCACACTGGATATTCTGAAATATCCACTCTTATCTCTAACTACTACTTAACCATTCTTAACGGCAGACGGTAGAGTGCCTGCACATAAGGCAATGAAATGAAACAGGCACTTGGATCCTGATCAGATATTTCTGCAGGTGCATTTCTGCTTTTGGAGTGTTTTCCCGCTCTGAGCTAACCAAAGTACCCCCACGAAATCCAGTTTCCCTGGCTGTTGCTGCTCTCCCAGTGGGAGAAACCTGGCACACACAGGAATGTTAGTCTGGATGCAGCCCACAGCCACTCACATAAGGACTCCCAGACATGCAGCAAATCACTTTGTAAATTAAAAAAGACACCCTCCCTCAAGAGAACAGTCTTGCACTGAACTTAAGTGAGGGAGGAAATAATAAAACAGATGGGGTACTGACCTAGTGTTTATTATACTGGAAAGGAAGGTCTGAGTAAGAGCAAGTCCCCTCCCCCCCAATTCCTCATGGACCTCCAAGTGGTCTAAAACTAGTACAGTAGTTCCCATAAATACAGGTATATTCTATAGGTCTATCGTATGAGTTGTCCTCTTGAGGAGACAAACCAAATGACTGGTTATCAGGGCATGCAGAACAAACTTATGAAGACTTTACAAGCTATCTTAGGTGTACTGGAACTATTTTACACCACATGCTTTTGTAGCAGTTGGGAACCATGATCTCAAATACACACACAAACCACATAGCATCAGAATATAGTTTTGTAGGCTGTTTCTGTTTTAATAGTACAAACAACTTGTAGACATATTAAAACGCCTAAGCAGTATAAATGGTAATACCATGGTCTGGGAGACACTGCAACACTCGATGCAACATAAAAGGCTGCAATTGGAAAGGGCCTTTGTTGAACTACAGGAAGGGTTGGTTTAAAGGGAAATCAGGGATCAGAAAAACATTTTCTGCATTGGTGGATAAGCAAAAGAAGGAATTTCACTTGATTCACCCTTCCACACTACAGCCAACTCTTCCATGCTGCAGTGCATTTTGTGAGGGTTCCCCAACCTCCACACATAATTCTAAGGGATGGAGATGAGCCTGCTGAAGGGGGAAAGTATTTTTACAGTAAGAGTAGTTCAGCAGTGGCATCAGCTGCCTAGGGAGGTAGTGAACTCCCCCCTCACTGGCCGACTTCAAGCAGCAGCTGGATGAACACTTGCCAGGGATGCTTTAGGCTGATCCTACACTGAGCAGGGGGTTGTACTAGAAGGCCTGTATAGTCCTTTCCAACTCTATGATTCAAAGATCTTTTGCTCAAGCAAGCATGGAAACAACCAGTATAACAAGATGCTTCCCCAACACTGCATCAGAAGGTATGTATGGAACAGAAAGTAATTTCTGATTTGATAAATAGGAACTGTTTAAATATAAAAATTTTGCGTCTACTGACTTGAACAGGTACAGAAAATTTAAGCATTATAGTTATATCCTACAATAGTCCCTCTCAAAAATACTCATTTTTCACCATTCATCTTTCTTTGAGCATATTGCTTTATACTCAACAAAAAACCTTGTCTATGTTGAACAGGAACTTCTTGTTACGTTTACCTTCTTAAACAGCAGCTACGTCAGAACAAGATCTGCATCATGGTGTCGAAGCATTAGGGTTTATATTTTAACTGGCATGAAATATTAAAATGTTATCAGACTAGAAATATTTTTGTATAAAAGTTTATTATGAGTTATAAAAATATATTGTGACACAATAATTAACATTAGTCATGATTTCCTTGCGACTCAGTTCTACACAGTTATTGCTAAAAGTTGATAAATTTTAAAAAAATCACAAGTGGCTGCACTAATATTCTGTAGTAGTAGTATATCCTAAAAGATTTTTAATAAAACCAGCAAAGCCAATTATTTTGTGATAACAGAAATTTCTTATATCTTGAAGTTTCTGTGGTTCACCACTTCTTCATTAGTTACCTGCAGCCTGGCACCTTCCTGCCAAAGAAAAAGAAAGCATCTGAAGAGGTTTATCATAGCTATCTCTTCATATCACCTGCAGGAAAATTTCAGCAAATGGCTATGAGCCACTGAGGAGATAAATCCAGGCCTTTTAAGTGTGCCATCTGTACCAAACAGTGAAAAGTTGAAAGACAAAATTCAGATCAAAAATAAGTAATAGATTATATCATTAATATGAAGCAAATGCTACTCTGCATAAAATATTTGGCTTCAACAGTATACTAGAAGTTGCAAGCATTAATTGGCACGAAGGAGGGAGACATCTGACAGTAACAAAATGTACAAGGTATCACCATGATAGTCAGTTTCAACTCGCATGCATTTAAGTTCTGCCTCAAGTTCTAGTTAAGTATCAATCCCTTGAACACAACTATTACAATTCTACCAACAAGAATGTGTGACAGAAACCAATAACAAAATTTATTTATATGTTAAGTTCTGCAATAGGAACTTTGAATTTCTATAGCTGCAAGACTTCAGTGAAACACCTATGCACATCTATTTTACATACCCGTTAAGCATTTAGGCTTTCAGGAAAACTAAGACCGAAGGCAAAAATACAGATTATACCATTTAAATTAACTGTAACATACCATTTTATCTAACCAGAGAAGGGATGGAACCCTTGCAAAGCATTAACGGACACTTGGCTGGTTCATTGCTCAGCAGGTCTATTGCTTGTCCATGGTGCATAAAGCTAGATTCCAGCAGGGGAAAAAATAGGTTAAGTAACTGAAGTTAAAATAAATGAAATAAAAAATATAATTGCCCGAAAGAAATGAAAAACAAGAACAAAACAGTATTTTTAAATTTTTCAGTGCACAATTGTTAACTCAGTTCATTGCTATATTAAACTAAATAACATAACCACTATACTGAAACAGTACACTGTCATATAGTATTAGTTTCTTGTTTTGGAATATTAAGAAAGGAAAAGTAAATGAGATCTTACCTAGAAGTTTAACTGAAGCTTAGAACTATTTTGCTCTACACCCTCAGCTTTCGTTGGCATCCTTATAAAACTACTGTAGTTAAAGCTCTGCAGAAGTACAGCACAGCTTTTTAAGACTGGCTGAACTTAGTGCCGTTCTCAAGAGTTCTCTTGCACTAGACCTGTGTCCCTGGAAGAGTACCTCGCTGGGGATATTTCCTTTCCTTGCCATTGAAGAAGCAGCATCTAAAAGATCTAAAAAGGTGTTTCTCCTTGCAGAGATATCCCTTATGTTATCTAGATATTTAAACCTGGTGATTTACAGAAAACATTATCTGACCAGCATTTCACATGTACAACAATAACTTTGTAGTATTTGTGGGACCTTCTACTACCCACTCCTTGCCTTAATTTACAAAATATCTTAAATAAATCTATAATTACACAACATTTCCTTTAGAATTATTTTATTAAATCATAAATGTACAACAGCTTCTTAACTCTACACACGCACTTAAATTTTTAAAAGGAAAACGTTATGTCTTATTACACCATGATCCTGGCTAATAGCTTTTCAAAACTTTGAGAAAATTTTTAAAAAAGGTTTCACATGTCACCTGAAACTTACAAATTTAACATTATCAAAGGAATGCTTCTACACTCTTACAAAGACCACTAGAAAGAAACAACAATTAAAAAGCTAAGAAACTGTCTCCAAAGGCATTTTTACAATCCTTCCTCCACAGTAAGGTATGTTATTAAATAATCCAATCCATTCACAAAATGGCTCTCTGCATCTGCTCTGGTGTCTTCTGCCATATCACTGCATATTTATGCATGACTGAGATAAGTGTTTCCTTAACAATGTTATTTCGAAAACCTGAAGCTGTTCTGTTACCTCTGGGCTCATCCTCTCCTATTTATACAGTGAAGCCTGTTTCAACAGAAGTAAAGAGTAAAAAAATAGGTTATGAAGTTATCCATCTAACCAGTTTCTTTTTAAAGGAAAGATAATATGATCCTAAAAAACTTTTACCCCTGCAGCTAAATCCAGAAACAGTGCAATTTCAGCACTTAAGAAAAACAGACTCACCCATGAAAAGCTTACAGAAGCTCAATAGCGACTCCTTCCTCCATATCCCCCACTTCCTCCACTTCCTCCAGGACCATAGTTTCCTATATGTGTAAAAATAGAAAACAAAATTAGTAACCAGGCAGTTCCTACTGAAGAATGTTAACATATTCCATATTTAATCTATAGCTAATACTGCCTTTTCCCTCCAGCTCACTGGCAAGAATTGCAGAATGAGCGACATAGCACCGAAATGACATTATCACCTTTTAACACAGTAGGTCTCACATCTCATAAACTTCACCAGATCTGATTAAATCAATTTATACAACTCTTACACATCTATTTCTGGTTTGCAACTGTATTGATTTTTGTGGTACATCAGAACTCCAAGGAAGATGGCATGCTCTTTTAGAACAGTAGTGGCATACATTTTATATACAGAAGCCAGTTCTCAATTTTTTCTGACCAAGAAATAGAATCAAATTTGATTTTTAGTGACTTAACCCACTGCAAGTACGAATAGTTTAGCCACTTCAACAGTGAGCCAACTCTTCATCTGCACCCATCATATGAATGTCTGTCTAAGGTGAACAGAAAAGTACTGTGTTGTGGGGAAGAATAATCATGTCTCAGGCACTGGGTAGCCCAGCTACAACTAAAATAAAAGGTATCAATAGTCCCGTTTCTGCAGCCAGATCTAGGATTTTGATGAAAACGGAAATAAATCTGTGTTTTAAGAAACGTGTGTGTGTGTGTGTGGGGGGCGATATTCTTTCTTTCCTTCTCAGTGTCTGAATGCTGTAAATGGCTTGGTGTAAAAGGACAAGATGGGGTTTGGAAAAGCTGGCTTACAGAAATATTCAAATGACAAGAGGCAGGTAGAAGATAAATGAAATTTCATTCCACCCCTACTTCCTTGCCATACCATCAAATATAAAGGTGTTACTATTGTAGTGGGCGGAGCACGTAGTAGGGTCAGACTAGGTTCTTCACTTGACAAGTGAGTATGTGGAAGCCTTCACTTCTCCTCTGCCTGTCATTAAAGGTCCACCAGGTAAGTAACTGACATGCACAAAAAATTGATTCTATTTCTTGATCAGAAAAAATTGACCTACACAGCACATAAAAGACAAACTACTTCATTCAACTTATTACCTCCACCATATGGTCCCCCCATGTTCCTGCTTCCACCAAAATTTCCACTCTTCATAGGACCATAGTTTGAGGGCTGTTGGTTGTAGTTTCCAAAATCATTGTAATTTCCTCCTCCATAATTGCCTGAATTGATTAAAAAAAGTTATATGCAGACTGCTCCAGTACGACACAATTAGCTGGGTACTCAGCTCTGTATTTATGTAGTCACAGGTTCAAATCCCTGCATACACCTGAAGACCGATGTATAACCTCATCTCAGCCAATCTATTGGCCAATGCCATTCGTAATGCAAATGCAGGACCTTCACACAGTATTTTCCTCTACACAATGTGTACATTTTGTTTCTCCATTCATGGAGTAAACTGTCATGTATGAAGCAGTGTAGAGGAAAAATATAGTGTGTAGACCAAACAATGTAAATATGCTAAAATCTATAATTAAATCAAAACTTAAATAATGGTAATCTTGTCATTAAACACTGTAATACACTGAAAGCACTTTTAAATAATTCCCATTCCACACCCATAGCCCATCTAAGACTAGTTTCAGAAGGTTTCTCTCTATGAAATATTACCTCCTCCATAGTTGTCATAACCACCTCCGTAGCCCCCACCCTGGTTGCCATATCCAGGTCCTCCACCACCATATCCTCCTCTTCCTCCTCCATAACCAGGACTACCACCAAAATTGCCACCTATTATAAAATAAAACAAATATGCTGCTCACATCAAACTTCAAAGTATCTAATTACAGAAATTATGATAGCCATGGCCCAGACAGCTTTTTAAGGTATTTAAGATCTGTGCACACCGTGCATCTAGCAGACTTCTTTCTGGTAACATACCAATACTGTACTATAAACTTTTATCCAAAGCAGTACATGCCATTTAGTGCATGAAGAAGCAGCTTGTTGTACAGTGGCTTTCATTTATGGATCTGGCTTTACATTTATTCTCTGCAGAACCATAAAAACTGACTCATGGAAAGTATTATAATTCTACCCAGATATAACTATAAAATAAACTAGGGATTTGATTCAAACTACAAACTAACTAAATTACTAGAGTTATCTATACGGTTTACAACACATTCCAGGCATAAATGATGCTAATTACATAAGCTGATATTCAACAGCCTTACAGGTTAGGAAATAAACAAACACGTAAAAAATGTGTTAATATGGGCAGAAAGAAAGAACAGAATGGTCACCTGTTCCGTTACAAGAATTATACCATTTGAAGAAAGCATGACCAATGGATAGCTTTCAGTGGGGAAAAAACATATGCTGTACTTTCTCAAATGCAAGAATAAAACAGACTAACCTCCTGGTCCTCCACCATATCCATTGTATCCATCACCAAATCCACGACCACCTCCATAGCCATCTATTGACAAGAAAATAGTTTGTTAGCTACCTATAACAAACCCCGCCCCCCCCCACCAATTTTCAAGACAGGGTACACATGTTCATATAAGGAAATCAGAAGCACGTTTTGCAGATAATGTTCCTCTTCACCAGTGGAACCTAACTGCCAATTTTAGGGGTCACAATTCAGAAAAGTGTCAAGAGACTGGGCTTGTTTCTAGTAATAACTTGTATTTATTTATACCACACCTTTCTCTCCAATGGGGATCAAAAGCACCTTACATTGTTCCCCTTTCCTACATTTCATATCTACATGCCTACAAAGTAGATTAGACTGAGAATGTATGACTGGGCCCAAGTAACTCAGCAGGCTTCCATGGCAGAGTGGGGATTCAAACATGAGTCTCCCAGATCCTAGCCCAATACTGTACACCACACCAGCTCCATAGGATCACAATGATCATGTGACTTACCAGATCCACCTCTGAAGTTGCTTCCCGGTCCTGGTCCAAAGTTTCCACCACCTCCACGTGAATCTCCAAAGCCAAAGTTCCCTAAAAGTATGTTAAAGTAATTCAGGTTTTCTAGAATATTACTTCACTAATAATATGTATCTAATGCAGAGGTCCTTGTTTTTGAGCCTGTTGGAACCTTTGGAAATCTGATATAGTGGTGACTGTCCACAAAATGGCCACCACAGCAGGTAGAGCATCCCACATAAACAGAGTACAGGGGGAGTAATTAAAAAAAAATACAGAGAAAATCCATACAGCCAATTAGAAGTCCTGCTGGGCAGGAGCCCCACCCATTTTCTAAAAACACTTGGCAGGTACCATAGCACCCAAGTGCACCATGCTGCGGAACCCTAATCTCATTTATTTTGTAACATACCTCCTCTTCCACTCCTTGAGCTCTGAACCTCTTGCATTTCTTGTCTAGATAAGGCTTTTCTTACTTCTGCATTATGACCATTGATAGTGTGGTATTTCTGCACTGTAATGACAAAAAAGTAAAGAGACTAAATTTAAGGCAAATCTTCAAGTTGACCCTCACAGCAGTCCCTCTTTAAGTTGACTCTCATAGCAGTTCTTCTTCATAATTATTCTATAGAAAACAGTGGAGACTGCAATGTAGGGATTTTAAGTCACCATCTTTGAGTAATATATGAATTGCAGCTAAATTACATTACTGCAAACTATAAAACTGGTCCATAAATAATTATATCAGTAGACCAGATAGTGCAGATTACTCATGATAGGTGAGGAATATTTTAAAACCTTAGGCATGCAAACAATGGTGAACGTGAATGAACGTATACCTTGGGGAGCAAGGAACAATTTCTTATACACAATACTAATGTTTACTTACACACAATTTTATCCACAGGATCATGGTCATCAAAGGTAACAAATCCAAATCCTCTCTTTTTACCAGACTGCCTATCTGTAATTATTTCAATTGTGTCAATTTTCCCATATTCCGAGAAGTAGTCTCTAAGATGATGTTCCTCAGTATCTTCTTTAATTCCACCAACAAATAATTTTTTCACAGTAACATGAGCCCCAGGCTTTCCAGATTCCTTGAAAAAAGTTTTACCAAAACTGAAAAGTTAGTTGCCGGTTCCTGATTTTCCACTTCCTAGTGAAAACTATCAAGTTTGCTACTGCTGCAGCTAAACTGCATGAGAGATGTTTTAATACCATCACAGATACTACAGAAAAGCATGATCAACTTATTTTTTATTATTTTAGGAATGGTGTTTTTTTTCTCATGGTTTATGTTTCTTACCATAATACATAATATTGCCAAAACTTCATATAGTCTACAATGTTTAAGCCATGTTTCAAACACATAATCCTTAAACAGCCCTGTCAGTATTATTGTTCTGTCTTGCAAATTAGCGATGAGAATGGCTTGCCTAAAGCCCCCTTGTGAGTTCATAGCAGAGATGAAATCTGAATCAGGGATTTTTTGATCTATGGCGTCCAGCACAATCCTAAATAGCTATACCCTTACACTCTTCTGAGTCCATTATTTTCAAGGGGTAACTCTGTTTAGGATTGCATTGTTCAATATCTTAGTTGCTATAGTACACCAACTCTTAACTGCCAAACTACCAAGTTAAATATAGAGGAGCTGTATACTGTAATACACCTTATGGGTTCAGCCTTCAGTAAACTGACAGAAATAACTCCACATGTATAAACACCCAAATACAGGTCAATGATACACTAGTATCTCAAGTCCACCAGCAACAAAATCAGTGTTGCTTTAAAAGCACAAATTAAAAAACAGGATAAGAGTGTCTTACCTCCCTGGCTACTGCTCTTTTGGGTTCAACCACCCTCCCATCAATTGAATGGGGCCTGGCAGCCATTGCTGCATCAACTTCAGCCATGGACGAGAACGTTACGAAGCCAAATCCTCGTGAGCGTTTGCTTGCAGGATCTCTCATTACCTATGGGAAATATTGCCACACACTAAATATTCAGAGAGATCAAATTTCTTTGCCACTGATGTCTCAATAGTTGTTGCTAGTTGGTCGCTTCTCTTCTTTACACAGAAACAATGGGCAGGAGACAATTTCCTTTCGCATTGTAAAGCTCCGTTTATCCCCTAAACACACCTTATACAGTACACTTCCCATGAAGGGCAAGTCTGTACTTTTTGTATTACACCTTAATGAACTATCTGTACACCTCTCCCCAAAAACCCATGTCCCATTTATTAATGAACCCACCTAAGAAAATTCCCTCATATATGAGCTTCCTTACATCCCCTAGATTTAGATATGTCTTCACGCTTGCTAGGTTGAATGTTTTTCCAACTGCAGAACTACGTGGCCGTTTTGCTAAAAAAACAGTATTCAAATAGATTGTGCGACTGTAGATCAGGTGCAATAGAGACCTTAGACCATCTTTTGTTATTTTGCCACCAGTGGATTGACGCCAGATCCTGCTGGATTACTCCTATTTTACATAGACATCACCAACCTATGGAACCTTCGGTGATAACCATACTGGTAGCAGATGAGGACCCTGAAACGACTCGCTTGGTGGCAAAATATCTATCGATAGTGCTATTTTTAAAGCGGCTTTGAAATTCTATAGGTAGTTTTATGGATACAAATTTTAAAACTAATTTTCATAATATCATGGGATTTTATGGAAGTTTATAAAATGTTGTCTATTCATATTGTTTTAAAGTATGTTTATTAGTTTTATTGTAAAAATGTCTGGTCTAAATAATCTCGTAATTATATGTAATGTGTTTTATAGTAACTGTTTGTATGTTTGGCTTAAAACCTCTGGTCAATGAAGCTAATAAATGAAAGAAGAGAATTTATTAATGAACATGTTATTTGACAATCTATGCTATGCAACCAAGTAAAATACCATTTCATATCATCATGAATAATATTTTAATTATACTATAGATATACTGATCATATAACTTTTAAACTATACCAATGATTGTTCTAATAAAAAAGATATACCACTGCAACCCAGAGAAAGAGGTGTGAGAACAGAATTCTAAGCAAATAAATATACACACAATAAAGAAATTTAAAATTGTGCTTCTTTTCTCAATGATAATGACCCTCATTATTTTTCTGAAATACATTCACTTCAAAACCAAAGTTCAGAATAAGAAGCTATAAATCTTTCAAACAGAAATTCAAGATATAAAAGTGTGAAGGTATTATTTTTGAGGACATGTTATTTACTGGGAAACAAATTGGATAAGGGTGACTAATTTTGGTCATTTAAAATATTCTAACAGGAATGATAGTGAAAAAACCAACTGAAGCAATACTATCGAAGTATAAGTAATACAAATTTGCTGTTACTCATTACATTATAGGAGTATTTATCTTCTTTAAAAATATTTCTTCTCAGCTCTGCAAACGTTAACTAAATGGTTCTGTCTACGGCAATTTATAATCTGGTTTCTCTTCAGATTGTATAAATCTTTTGCTTTTTACTACAATCTCGATGGCTTCCCCCCCCTCCAAGTCCTGTTTTCCAAACAGGCAGAAGTATGGTCACACCAAGCATGCTCAAGTCCCTAGAACACCAAATTAATTCTTCAGATTTCCATCCATTCATTTAGGTACATGCAAAATATTTCTGGTTGTGTAGTAAATGTTAGGTTTGATTACAGTATGTTCCAATTTCCCCTTAAGTTTTCCACCTACAGTCTCATGATCTCAAGAAATGTAACATTCCTAACAATGCCACACTGGGTGATACATGGATGCTTCCAGCACAATTTATCCCATATCCAATACCTGGTAACCCTGCAATTAAGTACCACTGTGTGCCCTCGAAGAATGTATTTTCCCCAAGACCTGCTCGTCAGAAAGCTGGTTCAGTGCAAGCCATGTGATCGGATTATCTAAACCATTTCAAGTATTTTAACAAAATGCAAACAAGTGATATTAAAACTCACAACTTACCACACAATCTGTCAGCTTTCCCCATTGCTCGTAGTAGTTTCTCAAACTTTCTTCTGTTGTTTCAAAGCTCAAACCTCCAATGAATAGTTTACGGAATTGCTCCTTTTCCCTCTAATTCAAAAAGACAACAGACAACACTATAACATACTAAAACTTAACACTCTTCTGTAACACTCTATTATCTCCAATATACTGGAAACAGTATAAAAACTACTTTACAATGTTGTTGAGGTCAAAATGGAGGAAGGGAAACAATATCTGCTGCCCTGAAGTCCTTAAAAGGGCAGAATAAAATGCGGTAAAAGTAAAAAAAGAACTGCAGCCCCAGTTTCTATCCAGTAGTTCTTACTAGTACTCCATTCCATGAAAAAGGCCACTTGCCTTCTCACAGGTGGCAAAGAACCACCTGCTGAAGGTGACCAAGTCATGTTCTCTCTTACCCTGCCGGAAGAGCCCTGTTAATTTTTCCTAGCTACCAAAGTAAAAGGCTAACTCTCTTCGCTCACCTGTCTACCATGGTTAGGAGAAAAGAATAAACACAGGAAGACAAGAGTTTACATTACAGGAGAATAAATATACTTGTACCAATTTATGAAAAATATAGATACAATGCTGCACTAGGAAAAAAATTCACCATAAATTTCATGACCTAGAAAATCTCATTCTTTTTAACAGAACAGACTGAAAACATCTATATGCAAAATAAATCTGGGCACCTTAAAGAGATAATAATGTACTAATATTCAGATTTGTCTGAATCCAGTCTTCAGACACTGGCTACTTTTTGGAAACAGATGCTTCCCCTCTTAGCAGTGTCATAGACAAACAGAAATTACTTCAAAATGGAGATGGAACTCTATAAATTTACAGTGGCCCCTGCCAATGGGGGGGGGGGGGGGGGGACGG